TTTCTTCCTATTTCACATTATCTATTATACCTTTTACTCCTTATTTACACTTTCAGTTTCTCACGCTAGAGAAACTATTCAGTATTTACACATGTGTGTCCTGTTTATTTCACTTAAGAGTATCACCTCAATGTGCATCCACTTAGCTATAAATGTCTCTAATTTCTCTTTTTTATAGCTGAGTAGTACTCCATTTTATTAAAAACCCACATTTTCTTTATCCAGTCTCCAGTTGATGGGCATTTGGGCTGCTTCCAAGTTTTAGCTATTACAAACTGTGCTGCTATGAACATCGGTGCACATATATCACTGTGGTATGATTCTTTTAATTCTTTGGGGAAGATACCCATCAGGGGAATATCGGGGTCAAATGGGACGTCCAGTCCTAGTTCTTTGAGGTATCTCCATACTGATTTCCACAGTGGTTGCACCAGTCTACACTCCCACCAGCAGTGGAGCAGGGTTCCTCCTTCCCCACAGCCCTGTCAGCATTTGTTACTGGTTGATTTCATGATAGCAGCCATTCTTTCTGGAGTGAAGTGGAATCTCAGCATTGTTTTCATTTACATCTCTTGAATGACCAGTGATGTTGAACATTTTTTCAGGTGTTTATTTGCTGTTTCTACTTCTTTGTCTGAGAAATGTCTGTTCATTTCAGATGCCCATCTTTGGATTGGGTCTTTAAATTTGGGAGGTCTGATTTTTTTTTAAGTTCTTTATAGATTCTAGATAGAAGATCTTTGTCTGAGGGACAGCCGGCGAAAATTTTTCCCACATTGTGGGTTGTCTCTTCACACTGCTGGTGGTTTCTCTTGCTGTGCAGGGTGGCTCTTATTCTTAATACTTCCCTGGGCCCGGTACTGGGAAGGCTGCATGGCTGCAGGTGGTTTGTACCCTGTGTGCTGGTGAGGGCACTGCGTGGGTGTCCCCAGCCCCAGAAGGAAGCAACTGTCTCCCTGTGTCCCCCTGAAGCCCCAGGTAGGGCAGAGGCTGAGGGAGGAGGAGCAGCAGGAGTGGGGGTAGGGCTTGGCAGCATCCTCTGGAATAAGAAATAAAGCTAAGATTTTAATTGCAAATCTTGCCAATCCCACTGACAGCTTGACTTTCAGGCAAAAGATGAGCTAAATTTAACCTAGCCAGTTAAAGAGCCAAAAATGCAGTTTACTAATTAGCTGAAAATGGAAACTAGTCCAGTGATGGGGAAGAGCTTTTCTGGTTTAAAAAAATACTGAAAAGGAAGAAAAGAAGCCCATTCCTCTTTTCCTTCTGCTGTCCACTGGGGCACAGCCACGAAGCTGGGCCGAAGTGTGGGCACGAGGCAGGGGTCCCAAGACCTGGCAGTGACCAGAGCCTGAACGGGGCATGGTCCAGTCTCTGTTCTTTTTTTAAAAATTTTTATTTTTATTAGAACATGTTTGCAGTACCTAGTGATTACATTCCTTGTGGGGAGTTGGCACATGTATAGAACATATCTCAATTCTTTTTTTAGCCCCTTCCCCTCCATTTTCCTACAAATGACTCAGGTTATCCTTTTTTATGGCAGAGTAGTACTCCATTGTGTATAGACACAAAGCTCTGTTCTTAGAGGTGCCGAGCCCAGCAAGTGACCCAGGCAAGGTCACGAGGACCTTCACATACCCGGACAGGTCCTAGGGGCTGAGGGGTTCACAGGAGGCAGAGGGTAGGATGACATTTGAGACGAGCCTGGAGATACGGTGCCTGGGAAAGCAGGGAGCAGCAGGAGGGGACAGCGCAAGTCCAGGCGTGAGGGGTGGAGGGTGGCAGGTCAAGAAAATGGCAAGTGGCCTGTTTCCCCGGTGCTCCGGCTGAGGCCCGGAGGATGTGATCGTCCCAAGCCAACCAGCTCGGCCTGGCCCCCACTTCGTCCTGCGGCAGTGGGGCGCCTAGGAGGACGCTGCTGAGGACTCCATAAGGGCCGCGCCCTGGCAGGGCAGCCTGGCATGGGCTTGTTAGCCTCTCTCTTTCCTCCGCAGGGCAGCCCCGGGCGGGCGGGTGACAAGGACTTTGAATAGAACACTTCTGAGATCCATCCAGGGCGTTAGGAGAGTGCAAATGGTTAAGGCTCAAAGAGTCACATTTGGGAGAAAGCGCATTTTCACAGCACATTTTCAAGATACGGTTTTTGTTTATATTCTTCCCACTGAAACAGATGGTTTTTCTAAACTATGGCTATCTTTTGAGACTATTTCCCTGTTGCTGTAAAAACGATCCAATAAAATGTCCCACAAGCAAAAATAAAATCTTAGCAGGTAATGTGGCTATTTATATATTAGGTGACCATTGTGTCGGCAGGATCTGCCTCCATAGATTCAACCGAAAGCGGATTGAAAGTGTTTGAAAAAAATTGCGTCTGTACTGAACATGCTCAGATCTTTTTCTTGTCATAATTCTCCAAGCAATACACAGTAACAGCCATTTACATGGCATTTGCATATTTTGTTATTATCTAAAGATATTATCTAAAGAAATGATTAAAGGTAATTTACAGTGTAGGGCTGGGGGCATGATGTGAGCTTAAATGTTGCATGGTTTCTGTTATATGAGAAACCCAAAGTATAGAGAAAGAGCAAAATAAAAGATAGACAATGGGAAACCAGGAGATGGACCTTTTGCAAATAGGAAGGGGACCCAGGAGGGAGAGGGATGGGGAGGGGAAGGGAATTAAAGAGAATGAAGTTGCCACACATGGCAGTGCCTCAGGGTGCAGGCATTAGATGCTTCAAACGTGCACTAATAAAAAGTGGGGGAGCACTTGCCTAGCATGCAGGAGGTGTTGGGTTCTACCCTCAGCTGCCGGCCCCCCCAAAAGTATGCATGGAGATGGGCACAGATGGTGTGAGGATACTGTGCCACCCTAGGCAAGTTCTGTTACTGTCAGGGGTCCAGGCACCAACCCTCCTGGGGCAGCCGAGGGACCGTAGACTGTGGAGGAGTGGCCTTTGTTCAGTCTCTGCCCTTACAGAGCAAGCTGAAAGGAAGCAATTCTCTAATGAATGGAGGCAAAGTTAAAAAACAAAACAAAACCCTGTGAAATTAGTTAGTGCAGAACCCCAGTGATGCATAGCTGAACATTTTGCTATCGTGTTTATGAGGCATAGATCTTTTTTATAATTTTTATTTTTATTAGTACATATTTGCAAGTACATAATGATTACATTTCTTATGTGGAATTGGTACACATACCATCACTAGTCTTTAATCACAAATGGCATCATGAAGAGTGCGCATGGTAATGTGACTTAGGGTGGCGTCCAGTGCAGGTCGCTTCCTGCCACTGGTAATACGCTCATAAGTGGATTCCCCTCTTCTCACCCAGTGATATGTTGCCCGTGAATCCGTTCCCAGGCTACCTTTCCTGTCCCACATCCACATCTCAGCAGGGTGCTCAGTAGATGAAGTTAGGAGTTTACACATGGAATCAAGGGCAGGAATCCTTTTTTCTTTTTTTTCCTCCTGGAAGATTAATCTCAGGAACACTTTAAATTGTGAGCTTTAGCCACATATGGCCTTAAGACTTCAACTGATTTATAAACACAATTTAGATTTCTTTGGAAACCCAGCTCCTGCACAAAAAGACAGATAAATTATTATTATTTTTTAAATTTTTATTTCTTTTTTGGTACCAGGGATTAAACTCAGGACCTTGCGCTTTTGAGGCAGGCAGTGGAACCACTGAGCTAAATCTCTGGCCCTAAATTATTATTATTATTACCTCCAAAGTTTTTCTTCTTCAAAGCAGAGGTCCTTCAGGGCCGGAATGGAGATTTCATCTTCACCTGGTGCAGCAGCCAACCTCAGAAGCAGCACTGCAAGTGTCTGATGGTTAAATGAATGAATGAACCGACAAATTCAATTTAAATGTGCCGATGTGGCTGGGCATGGTAGCACATGCCTATAATCCCAGCTACTCAAGAGGCTGAGGCAGGAGGATTGGAGGTTCAAGGCCAGCTGGGGCAACTTAATAAGACCCTGTTTCCAAATAAAAACGGTTGAGGTGCAGCTCAGTGGTAGAGCACTTCCCTAGCATGGGTAAGGCCCTGGGTTCAATGTCTGGAGTCACACACACACAGACACACACACACACACACACACACGCACATACACACACAAGTGCATATGATTTTTAAATTTAAATTATACCAAGTCACATACTGCACCTATTTTTAAAACTCAAATGGTTCTACAAAACTTAAAACCAAAAGGTGTCTGCTCCCTTCCCGAAATGCCTGTGCATCCCCACACTCTTTCCTGCTCCGGAAGCAACTGCCACTTCCAAGTGTGACGTCTTTCCTCATGTGCATTTTCCTTTCTGGGAATCACTCGCCTCTACCCCTGCTTTCTGATCTTCCTGCTGTCTTTCCCCTGACTGCTATGTCTCATCCATTTCCCAGTGTTCTCGCCTCTGCCCTGAGCTGGATCCCTTGTTTCCTGGGCCCTGATGTCTCCCTCTTCCTTGGCAGTCCCATCTTGGATGAATAAGCCTGGAAGGCCCCAGGCAAACCTCAGACGTGGGCTTTTTTTCTTGACTTTCCTGATAAAAATCCAGGTTTCTAGCAACTTCTTTTTTTGTTGTTGTTGTTACCAGAGATCAAACTCGGGTTCTTGCACTTGTGCAGCAGGCAGCAAAACCAGTGAGCTAAATCCCCGGCCCATCTAGCAACTTCTTATTATTTCTTGCAACTTTGATGCTGCAAGGAAGCTGACAGTGGCCTTTAAAATATGCAGTATGCACCCCAGTGGGTTATTTAGTGCACAGCATGGACAGACCCTGAGCCTTTCCATATTAGCTAGGGTGCCCATGTAATTTATCATCTCCACAAAACCACCATTGCCAGTCAAAGGGAAATGGTTACCAATCAGCCCGGACACAGGCAGGAGCCTGGCCCCTCTAGGCCCACAGCCTCAAGTTTCCCAAATGCAGACATTTTTCAAAAGACAAAACCAACTGAATATTGTTTTAATTCTCCACTTCCCTTCAGATACTTCAAGACATAGAAATTCTTTTGATTGATGCAAACCACTAAGAACACTTTTGAGTGAAAAGCTTAAGAGGGAACAAAGTCGTGGGTTTCTTGGATAATAAACAGATGTCATGTCTGTTTGGACAATGGAAGTGGAAGGGACAGAAGAGCTCACGACTCTGCAGAATCGGTGGTGAAGTTGGAGCCGTCCTTAGCAAGGGTGTCTTACCACACAGTGCTGTTTCCTGGACAACCAGGTGGCCAAGGAGCTGGGCGCTCGAAGTAAAGAATTCCCTACCTTTATAAGATGAGCAAGATGGAGCGGAAAGACATTTCCAGCAGCAGAATCTCCTGAGCAGAGACCCAGCGGTGTTTGAGAAATGAAAAGCAGTGTGGAGTGAGGAGGTCAACGCTCATGGGAGCTGGAGGGGCTTCGGACAGGAGCCAGGAAGGACTCTGCAGGACTCTGCATATTCAGAACTTGGTTGGCTGGGTCTCTTTTTCTCCCACGAGGACAGTGCTGTTACAAGTGGAAGGGACAAAGGAGACAGCCCTGGGGAAGATCTGTCAAGAGCTCAAGAAAGGGGAGAGATGGCAAGAGATGATTTAGTTGCTGTGAAGACATTCTCTAGGCCTCAACAAATGATCTTTAATTTTGTCATATGGAAGTCTTAGAAAATTGGGAAGGGAGAAAAGGTCATCATTTCCCAAATAGCACAAAAAGCTGGATTCTGGAAGATACAGAGGATATGTCTGATATTAATATAGGTTCTGAGCAAAAATTGTAACAGATCTTTGAAGAGCTAGGGCGTAAACACTTGGCATAAAAGATGGTAACTAAAAGCCAAACCAACCTCCCTCCCTCTTTTCGTGGTGTTTGCAGATTGGATTTACAAAGCAGCAGTGAAAACCGTTCTCAAAATCCTGCGGATGTTACAGAGGGAAATGGGCGGAGTATCCAACAGTTGGGGGAATTGCATTTTCAGTAGGACAAATATATCCAGAGGATTGATAAACAGGTCAACTGAGGTGCAGCTGGGGAGGCCCCCCAAGGCTGTCCGCTGGGCTCTGCTCCCCTGGACTGCTGAAGTGTTTGTCAACTACAAGGACGAGGATAGAGCAGACAGGAAAGGGTTCGCTATGGCAGTCACTGCTGTCGAAAAGCTGATGTATTAGATGCCAGATTTAAGAATTTAAGAGGTTTTGGTTTGCTAATACGGTGGTTGGAAACCAACAAAATGACATTTAACAAGGATAAACACAAATCCTGTCATTAGATAAAAAGAGAAAATCAATCAGCTCTAGTATAGGAAGGAAAAGAACCAACAGCAGCTCAAGGGAAAAAGATAGATAGGTTCATAACTCACTAGAAGTTCATCACCAGCCAGTAGTCCATGTCCTGAACGCTCAAAAAAAAAAAAAAATCAGTGCAAACTTCATTTGCACCCACAGAATCATAATATCCAGAGCACTTGGAGGTTATTGTGTGCAGATCCACGTACCAGGATTCCAGAGAAAAGACCTAGTGGGGTAGAGACAGGCATTTGCGCAGATGAGGGGTCCGGAAACTGTCATGTGATAGTGCAGAATAAGGAACATTACCATGGGCTGGTGAGAGAAAGTCTTTCATGTGTAACGGGCCCAGCAGATTCATCTCGAGCATTCATTCATTCATTCATTCATTCATTCGGCAGCAGCTCTTCACTGCCCACCACATTCACACCGAATTGTGGCCATGATGGGTGCTGGAGGATGCACTCTCCTAGGAGAGATGGACATGGTTTGTCCACAGCAAGCCAGTGGACCCCATGGATATGGAAGAAAGAACAGGGGCATCCAGGCCTTACTGACAGGGCAGCCTCAGCGCAGGTGGGCAGGGAGGCTGGCACTCAGGACAGGGAGGCAGCACTACCCAAAGTCCCAAGCACTCAAGGGTGTGGCATGTCTGAAAACCAGCAGTGGGACTGTGGCAGGGGTACGTGGGATGCCGAAGGTGGCATTTGTATCAGGAACACGTACAATGTCAGGCCAAGATGTTTGCACTTCCTAGTAGGCAACAGCATGAAATGACATCAATTAACCCTGTTTAGGCAAGTTATTCCCAGAGTAATGAAGCGGAGCGAGGGAGACTGGGGTGCAAACCACTACTGAAACCTTTCAGAATAGAGAGAAGCCTGAACCGGGACAGAGGGAGGCCAAACTGACCAGACGAAAGTAGATCGATGAAAAAGAAAAAAAAAAAAGTGGATCGATGAAGGATGCTTTATAGCAAGGGAAATCTGGGATGAAAATAAACAGCAATCTAATCATGGGCACTCTCAGTCTTTGAGAGAGGCCAAGCAATCATTTGTCAGGGGTGTTGGAGAAATGGCAGTTGCGTTGCCAGGCAGGTAGAAGGGATTTCAGTGTTTCTCATCAATGCTAAGAATCTGCGATGACTTCTCAGTGATTTTATCAAGAGCGGCGTAACCCATTGTTGACTGGGCGATTCTAGGCTGACATATTCGTTAGCCAGGATTGCCATAACAGAATTCCACAAACCAACTGGCTTCAGTGGACAGTTATTGTCTCCACTTCTGGAGACTGGAAGTCTGAGATCGAGGTGTCTGCAGGGCTGGTTCCTCAGAGCAGGGAGGGAAGGGTCGGGTCCCGGCCTCTGTCCTTGGCCAGGGGATGCTGTTTTCGTCCTGTGTCGCCTGCATCTTCCCTCTGTGAAATAACGTCCAGATTTTCTCTTCTTGTAGGGACAGCAGCCACACTGAGCTCATTTGGACCTGATTACCTTTATGAAGACCCCATCTCCAAACACAGTCACATCCTGAGGTCCTGGGGCTTAGACCTTCAACACAGGAAGTGGGTGGGCACAATCCAGCCCATGAACACCGACTAGGTCCAGGTCTCTGTGCTTTTAGGCTAAAATCAGACCCCCGCAAGATCTCCCAGGTCCCCTGTGAAGAGGCCAAAGAAATGACCTCTCCTCCTCTGATGAGATTGTGTCTCCAAAGTGGCCTCCTGTTCATGGCTGCCTTGTGCTGCTGGGTCTCTTCGTCCCCCTAGTTTCTTCCTCAGTCCAATTTAGATCCTCCAGGATGATCTGAAATCCTTCCTATTTTGTTGCGTAGCACTTGTAATTTGTAATTGTGTATCCATTGGGATAATTATCCTATGTCTGAATGTGCTTTACTTTGCAACTCAGCATGTATAGGTACATTTCAAGGAAAGACCAATGCTCCAAGTAAAGATATTTGCTCTTGCTATGGTCAACGCACTCTGTTTTTTTTCAAGTTCATTCCATTTTTTAATAGAGTGAATATACAATTTACCAATTCTTTTTTTTTTTTTTTTTTTTGAGACATGGTCTCACAATGTAGCCCAGGGTGGCCTCGAGCTTGTGGTGATCCTCCTGTCTCAGCCTCCTGAGTGCTGGGATCACAGTCGTGCGCCACCACGCCTGGCCGATTTTACTCATTCTTAAACTCACAGTTCTGAGGCATTTGTAACTTCTTGTGCAATTGCCACCAACTCTCCTTCCCCAGAACTTTCTCATTGGCCCAAACTGAAACTCTGTGCCTGTCAGTAGAAAAAACTTCCTATGCTTGTTTTCCTCCAGCAATCACCACTCTACTTTCTTTCTTTATGAATTTTGCTACTCTAGGGACTTCATGTAAGTGCAACCCTTTAGCATTTGTCTTTTGGGGACTGGCTTATTTCACTCAGCATAATGTCCTCAAGGTTCATCGATGGGGTAGCATGTGTCAGAATTCCATTTCTTTTAAAAAAGGGATAACAGTCTCATCTATGGACATCCCACATCTTGTTTATCCAGTGATTTGTCAAGGCATACTTGGGTTATTGCCACCTTTTGGCTATTGTGATAATGTTGCTACCAACACGGGTGAATGAATATTTATTCAAGTTCCTGCTTTCAAGTCTTTAAGTACATACTCAGAAGTAGATTTTTTTCTATCTTATTTTCAGCATGCTGAATATGACCCTGTAACTTGACCTCAGAGCCACTTGCAGTTAGGAAAGTGCTGTGTTCTCTATACCACGTGCCCAAGCACGGCGCCTGGCACTGTGGGACTATTTTTGGAGGAATGTTGAATTAAACAATAGATGTGTAAGACCTCACGTTTCTCGGTAATTTTTTTTTTATTGCTTCCCTATGACTAAATGCAACTGAGCTCCCATTTTCCTTTCTCTTTTACGCATATTGCACAAATGCTATTATTAATTCCACTGAACACTATGGTTACATTGTCCTGGAGGATGTACATCATTTATTATGATGACAACATTTTCTGGGGTTAGGCCACAAATTATCTCAAAGTGGTGTGGAATGTTTGGATGCAAAAATCACACATTATTAATTAAGTCTTCAGAGATTTTTCTTGAGCTTTCTCCATAGATTTTTTTTTTAATGCAGAGTAGATTATACCTAATTGACTTAACATGCATATCCTTGTAATTATTCTAAATTTTGCTTTTCTTAGACTAAGTTTTTACCATTGTGGGAAAAACAGGGCTGTTTAATACCCTAGGTTAAGAGTGTAATAATGATCTTTATCATCTCAAAAGCAAGTAGACTGAGTTCTTAATTGTCTTACTGTAATTTCACTCGAGTGGAAGTAATATCTTCTAAGAAAATCTCCAGCTCAGTTCTATAGCTGAACTTTTAAACATAGTTCTCCATTCCAACTTTGGAATTTTCTTTATTTCTAACCTTGAGTTATGGCCACCAAACAGTGATATACTCTCAACATTAAAAATCAGGAATACAAACACTCTTAAAGAGAATCAACTTTTAACCATTTATTCATGTCTATCATTTCCTTTCCACATTCAAAAATGCCACACCTCTGCTTTTTATGCCAAGGAGCCAATGTATGCAAACCGTGAGACTGCAAAGCACACTGAGTATGCCTAAAGATTAGAATACAAGCGAGGGAAAGACAGGGACTCAGGAGACAGAGGGCAAAGATAGAATGTGCATCTGTTAAAGCTCATCCTTTGGAAGCTCCTTCTCCACAACCCCTGCCTCACAGAAAGGCACAGGGCCCACCTGTGCTGGGCAGGGGCCATGGGGACCTTCCGCTCGCCCTTGTCCAACCATCTCTGGCCTGAACTTGCTTTCCCCACAGGAGTTCTCACACGTGCATGTTCATTGGCCAGAATCCAGTTTCCACCCCTACCACCTCCCTAAGCTGCTGCAGGATCTGGGAGCCCTGGGCCCCCAGACCGAGAGGCCTTTCCCTGCTTGGCCTGCTCCAGAGAACCCTGCGGCCGTGCCCACATCCAGAAAGCTCTCTGCCTCCTCTTCCTAAGAGAGAATCTTCTCCACATCTTCTGAGCAGCTTCCAAACTCTACAGCTCCTTTGGAATTTCCTTCCCTCCCCTCCAACATTCCACTCTCTTCTTTAGAGTTCATTTACAATCTTTGGCTGGCTACTCTTAAATCTCTTTTTTTTCCCTCTTTTGCTTCCATTTTTAATAATGAGCAGCTATCATCTTCACAAACAGTGAGGTAAAGGGATAACATTAAAACTTCAAAAGAAAACAGAAGGGGGAAAACGGTAGAGCTCCTTCAAAGCTTATTTCAGTGTGAGTAGCTCATCTCTTTATGCCCATTTAACCACTTCCACCTCAAGAGATGTGGTGAAGCAGAGAGGTGTTCAGCCTCTGCTCTAAGAGAAGATCGGAAACTTCTCTCGGAGCAGTTGAAAGCACGATGCTACGCGCTAGGGCTCCTCTTCCTCCCATTTCTTAATGTATAGTCTTAGATTATATATTTACTGTAAATGATCCTCCTGAAAGGAATGTAAAGTATGGGAAGGAAATGATGTCATCCAAGGAGTCACCTACTTGGGTCCCATGCGTTTGAAGCCACAGATTCCCCAACCAGGGCACAAGAGGAGCAGATTGTAATTTATCTCACAGGACAAAGATGACCTCCTTTCTTCCCGTTTCTTCCTCTGGTTTGGGACTTCTGCTTTAAATCCCGATTCCTTCACTCCAGTGGCCACTTCTGAGTGGAGGCCTCTCTCCTGGCCAGACCTTCCTGTCTCTCCACTCGAAAGACCCACAGCAGCTTCCCTCCGGCCGGCCCTCCTCCTCTCTTCCCTCTGTGTGGGCCTCAGAGCCTCCGTTCTGGAATACTGAAGACATCCTGGCCGCTCCAGCCACAGGCCCCGCGGCCTCTTCACGTACAGACTCTGCTCCCAAGCCAGAGTGAAACCTCCCGCATCCTTGCATCCCTGCATCTCCCACAGAGTCCGGATTCGTCCCCTGTGGCTCTCAGGGGCTCTCCGGCCTGGCCCTTTCTTTCCGTCCCCCTGGGTGTCACGAGGCGACCATCTGGGTGAAGAGCCCCCATGTCAGTCAGGAGTACTGTCCCCTGCTCTCCCCCATCCACCTGCTCAGTCAGGCCAACAGCACCTGGGGCCTTCAACCCCTCCACAGGGCTCTTTCCCCCCTTAGCGTCCCTCTTGTTTTCTCCTCTTGGCCTCCCTAACTAGGACAAGGATCAGGCCTAAGACTCCCTTCTACGACCGGCAGCGTCTAACACCGGTCCCAGGTCCCCCAAGCCCAGGGGGTCCAGGAGTTTCCCTACTAATTTTTCCTTCCCTTCTTATTTCACCTACTGTTTTAAACCTAAGCAGGATAAGACTGAAAACTTCCAATTTTTGCCTGCAACTGAAGAATGACTTTCGTGCAAACAGAGGTGTAAATGTTAAGGTTTCTCCCCTGGCACAGCCCACTCTCAGCTTAGACCTTTTCTCTCCTTTGCTCCCTCCTACTCATTCGCCAGCATCTTTTAGTTCTGGCCCTGGTCCCACCGACCGTTAGGGTGGGCTGGCCAAGCTGCAAACTTTGTGCGTATCTCTCCCTGTGCCACCGTGTTGCCAGGCTCTCCCAGACTCAGGACACACAGCTCCCGGGGGTCACAGTCCAGGAGCTCTGCATCCCGGGCGGGGTTCTCGGGGACTCCGACGTGCAGACGGATCTGCGGAGTTCCGGGGAGCCCCTGGCCACCCCCTCTCCGGCAGGCAGCGGGGAAGCGGTGGAGCCCGGGGCGCGACCCCTCGGACGTGGCCAAAAGGGGAGGCGCTGGCACGCGGTCCAGGCTTGGTGTGGGCGCAGGGACTGCGCGCCCGCCCGGGGAGGGTGACCCGCGGGGTCCCGGCCGCGCCCTTTGTCCCCGCGCCCGCCCGCGAGCGCTGCAGGCCGCCCCCTCGTGGGCAGCGCGG